TTTTCTTCATTACCCATTTAAGCCGTCTCCAGCCATTATTAGTCTCAAAGTGGGTTCCTCGTCATCGAAAAAGATAACTTCTGATGGTATAGCTCCTGTTCTGCAACAGTGGGGGGTTGCTCTGTTACTTTTGAGCGCCAAAGCCTGCAGAAACTTTTTCTAGTGCGATCAGAACAGAATTATCACCCTATTCTCTGTGAACAGCGGTATCGTACAGTTTATGACCTCGTGGAAATACCGTTAATTTTCAGGATAATTTTGTTAGCGTAGCTGTTTGTATTCTGTGGCCTTTACGGAGTTGTTTGTTTTTAAACGTCGAGGTTATTTTTAGATGAAATAATGAAAATGATATATTTGTATTTTCGGGAGTATCAATTTAATTATCGGTAGGCTGTATATTCGAATTTAGTGTAACGTGGACTGGATGATTCTAACCGTGTGAAGGTAGCCAACTATATGTATGATTGGTGTTGTAAGTGAGAAGTAAGTTTTAACCAGTAACATTTGATTATTTGAATAAACTTTATTAGGGGCTCATGAAGCACGAAAAATCCAAGAATCACAGCTTTATTCAATACTTTTGGCGAACCACAGCTACGAGTTTTGTTAAACTAAGCAGTTTGTTTTAACCAGTAACATGCACTTCTTATCAGATTACAAATTTTCATGTTGTAACGTGGATTATTAGGGAATAGTACTTGAGTCTTATTATACGTAAGTCAGCCATTTTTAGCCAATAAAATTTGACTGAGTACCAAATTCAATATTTGCTTTCGTATATATTAATGTAGTCATGGTACTATAGGAATATATTAAAACCAGAACTGTACCCAGCATGTGCTGGAAGAATAAATGCTTGCGTAATATATATATATGTGTATTCTATTTAAGCTAATAACACTGACTGTGTAATTGTTATTTATAAGCATTAAGAGTTGTGAATGCCTAGTTTGGTTTAGTTTGGTTTGAATTTCGCGCAAAGCTATACGAGGGCGTCTGCGCTGGCTGTCCCTAATTTAGCAGTGATAGACTAAAAGAAAGGCAGATAGTCAACAACACCCAGCGCCAACTCTTGGGCTAATCTTTTACCAATGAACAGTAGGATCGGCCGTCACATTATAACGCCTTCACGGTTGAAAGGGCAAGCATGTGAGGGGGATTCGATCCCGCGAGTCGAACGCCCTAACCACCAGGCCATGGTAGGCCTTGTTGATATAGAAATTACCGATCAACTTAAGAACTGTAAACAACACAACTCTGGTTCGTTATGTTGAAGAAAAATAGGCATTGGATTTTTATTTATGAATACCTAATCTCACTTTTAAAAAACAAACGCTGAGAATCGTTTGAATTCGAAATACGCATACGATATCTCGTTTTTAGCGACTTTGTTGAATATAATAAAGTTAAAGATCTTTGGATGATTCACGGTCTTAGTTCTGTAAAATTACATGCTTTATAGTATATTATTTTTATATTTCCCTATTATTAGGTATTTAATATTATCTCGAAAAATGCACACTATTTCAACTATCTTTCCTACCGTGTTGGAATCTGCTTGCCGTCAACATGTTCTAAAGAAGATCTTCAGAAAATGTCCGACAAAGGTATGTGATCCTATTAATGTTTTATATATATATATATATATATAGTT